TTTCTTAGAAATGATTTAAAGGACTCCTAGAATAAAGAAATAATATTTTTGGTGACTCAGTGCACACATATGGTATAATTGCTTTCAGAAAGACTTCATTATTTTTTATTAAGAGCAGTATTAGTGTCTACTCCCTCTAGTCTTTCTAATTGGATAGATTAATACCAATGGCTTATAATTGTTTAAATTCTCGTTTAAAATATTAATTCTGAAGCCTGGGAGATAGCTCAGAGGCATAAGCGCCTGTCTGGCAAGTGCAAGGTCCAGAGTTTGATCCCCAGTACAAAAAATAAATAAATAAATAAATAAAAATTATTCTTAAACATTTTTCTTTTTTACAGACTCATTTTTTAATGTAAATGTAAAATCTTATGTCCATTTTTATTTTGTATTATTACTATGTTCTTAATTTTTTAGTTTTTAAAAAATATAATGAAGATAAAATTTTGGTTATATTTATTGCATTTTCTTGTTCACTTTTCAGACATTATTATTTTTTTGTTTTTAACTGTTTTTGTTACTTTATTGTTGTTGGACAAAATACCCAACACCTGCTAGTTAAGAAAGTTAAAGAAAGCTAGGTTCACTTTTAGCCCAAATTTATAGAGGTTTCAGTATATAGTCGCCAGCTCCACAGCAGGGCAACTTGGCCAAAGGGTATGGCAAAGGAGAAACGGTTCCTGGCATGGTGGACAGGAAGCTGTGAGCGTCCTTCTTCCTTTCATTTTTGTTACATCCTGGCTATAAACCTATTGGATGGTGCTGCCTACAAACAGGGTGGCCCTTCCCTCTTCAGTAAGCGCATTACCCACACCCAGAGCCATGCTAAACCAATCTGAGGGCTAATTTAGTATCATCACCCATGATCTGGTCACTCGCGAAAGCCTCACCTATGACTGCATGAGGCTTGGGGGTTGGGTGGGCGTCTAGATATAGACCATAACAATGACTTTTAGATATACTTATAAATCAACTCGTATGAAAAAGCTTCATCTTATCTATCATGTCCTGCTTTTGTATCCTGCATGCTTCTAAATTTTAGAGGGACTCATAGGTCTTGAGCAATGAAAAAATGGACCCTAATTATTCACCAATCAAGAAGTAATAAAGACTAGATTATACCAGGCACACTGTAGCTTTCAGTTTTCTTAGAGTGAGGAAAAAAATGTACTAAGGATCGAACCACAGCAACCTGAGCCTGATTGCTTTGTTGAAGCAACCACTTAAAGAACTGAGCTAATGGGCAGGCTCCCTGTGATATCCCTAAAAGGCTGAGCTTTTGTTTTGTCCAGAAAGATGAAGTATGTGAGAAATTTAAAAATACCAAAAGTACTAAATTGAAAAGTCTATGGAAAGGAGCAGATAATGCTTAATTTGTTTTCTCTCCTTTTTATTTATTTATTTATTATTTTTTTTTTGCAGAACCGGGGATTGAACTCAGACCCTTGTGCTTGCCAGAGGATTGAACTCAGGCCCTTGCGCTTGCCAGGGAAGCACTTATTCTACTGAGTTACCTCCCTGGCCCATGTTTTCTCTCCTTTTTAATTTTTTTTAAATCTTCTTAATTTCTTTCTTTTTCCAATTTTGCATGCATATATCTGGTAATATGAATGACTTATTGAAAGACAATACTGTGCATTACAACAAATAATGTGAAATTCATATTTTGTTAAGTGAAATTCTGCATCACTTGTGATTTTTCTGTTTCAACACTATTTTGTATTCTCTTTAAAAATAAAAAGAAAATAAGAAAAAAAAGTCTGTAGCCCAGCATCATAGTACTAGAAGGACTGATGAACGTAAGCATGGAGGCAGCAGTTGGTAGCAGAGACTCAAAAGATAGTGCAGGATGCTGCCAGTCCAGCATGAGGAGCAAACACTCCACAGATGATGAGGCCTGCGGTAGTACCTCTGCCTTGGGATGAGGACACACACGAGAGAGCAGCAGCATCAGTGTCTGCTCTGTTTCTATGCCGACAAAGGTACATCCGACAGCACAGATGATTTGTCAGTATGGAAGAGCCTTCACTGCCTTCAGCAGTGTGTAATCCTACACTGCACAACTCAGTACTTTCACAATTTTCTGAAAGTGATTATGATAATTTAGGGAGAAAAATACATAGTATGTATAAGGATGGTTTTGACCAAGTTAAAAGATTGGTTCAGACATTTGTCTGTAATGAATGGCTTAACTGTAGTCCTCCTCTGCATCTCTCCTGGAGCAACCTGAACAGAAAAGAGTACATAATCATACTTCTAGACTTGAAATCATTGTTGTGGGTTTTACATGGATATTTAACAATGCCTGGGCCATTGACTGATTCTTCTCTAATATCATTTCCACTATTTTTCCAGTTGGTTCATAATTTGAGGGCTTACATTTAAGTTCTGGTCCATGTTTAGTTGAATGTTGAGTGTAGTGTCAGATTGGTATATAGCTTCTCTTCTGCATATAGATGTTTAGCTTTTTCTAGCATTGTTTATTGAAGACTTTCTTTTAATTGGTGTGTGTTCTTGGTGCCTTGGTGAGAAATCAATTAACTATAAAAATATACTCAGTTTTGAGTTCTATATTTTGTTCCATTGGTCAGACCCTTATAAGGCCTTAGATGAAAACTTGTCAAACTATATTACTTTTTAAAAAGTATGGTTAGCTTGCCTTTGAATTTCATTGAGGGTGGTACGAAAAGTTGACTTTTTGTATGTTATCCCAATGCATCATAAATGGATGTTCTCTTGCTCTTTTCTAGGGGATTTTCAGGTTTTGAAAACTTATTTTTCCAGTGATATTTTATGTGCCACATTGGTGCATGGGATTTTTCTTCCATGCACATTACCTGGTACATAAGAAGTACTTAATTCATATTTATTAAATCTACATGGAAAGAACACAATTAAAAAGTCTTTGAAATTTTAAAATACTTGTATGTATAAATGAATATTTGTGTAACACCTAGAATGTGTTTAGGTTTTACATTCTTAGTTCTAGCTAAAGTGTGAATTTTTCCATAATTTTATTTTTAAATTAATGTTTTTCTTAGATTCTTCTTTTCCATAAATACCTTGAATTTAATTATATTGTGTTGGGTACAGTATTTGTTATTTTATATCTCCTCAATAAACAATTTCTACTCATCTATTGAGATGCAGACTAATGTATTCCCTCCCTATGTAGAGGTCAGAATTACATGTTCTTAGGATCAATATTTTAACATATTTTAAAATAGTCTTCTGCATATTATTAGTCCTCTGATTTTTACTAGGGTTCTTGTTAATCTAAACACATTTTAATTCTTTGAAACATACTATATTTGTACTTACATTATTATCTTTCTAGCTCGTGAGCCATAGAATGATTTGCACATTTTTGTTATTTAAGTGTCACTGTTTTTAAGAACTTCATTTTATGATGACTTCTGGAAAATTTTACCTTTTTTGCTTGCTTTATAAAGAGAAGTATGATTCCTACCTACTGTGATATTTTCTATGGACTTTGCTTATTCTCATGACACCAGATCTCTAAATTGCTAATTTTCTTTCTTTTCTTTTCTTTTCTTTTTTTTTTTTTTTGTGGAACCGGGGATTGAACTCAGGCCCTTGCGCTTGCCAGGGAAGCACTTATTCTACTGAGCCATTTCCCTGGCCCTCTAAATTGCTAATTCTTAATTGCTAATTAAACAAATACCCACTTGAGATCCTTACCATATAACACTATTCACCTTGTTTATGAGATTTCCAGTATTGGCATATAAATTTACATAATATGTTGTGGTAGTTTAATTTTCCTTACAAATACTTCTGTTGTATTTACTTGCTGAACATTTATTGCATACTCATGAGGTACAAACCGTGCTTTTAGTTTCTCAGGGGACTGAAAGGTGAACAGGAGGCAGTCTACTCTTAAGGAATTTATAATTTATGAGCAGGCTGCTTTGGAAAAACCCTATTAAACAAACTGCTTATAATTTGTAGCAGAATAAATGATATTAATAAAATAGAAGAAGGAAAATATTTCCAAAGATTTCATGGAAAAAGTGGAATTTAAATTTTCATTCGAAAGATTGTCAGAATAGTTGAAAGATACAAAAAAGGACTTTGTGCAAAAGCCTGAAACAGGAAAAGTCATAGCTGTGCAAGTACAAAATGGAGCAATAGTCAGTTTGGTGGAGGACATGTTATGTGAGAGGCATAACTGGAGATAAATTTTAGAAAATGTATTGCATTAAAGTGTAGGGAGCCTTGAATACTAAGATTTTGAACTTTTTGGTATGGAGCAAAGATAACAGATTATATATATATATATATATATATATATCCAGTAAAAATATCAGGTTTTCTCTGCCTATAATAAGAATTGGACCAGCTGTCCTATATCCAACCTATGCAGTAATGGTGAACATTTAAAAGTGAAAAGTGGATATGACAATGCAAAAGGAAGATTCAATCCCTCAGTGGTGTAAATGGTAATATGCAGAGGACTATTTTTTTATGTATACTAAAATACTGATCCTATCAATTGCTATTGTTTTTCATTTATAGCATCTCAATGTTGATACTTGAAATCAGAATCTTATAGCATCCCCTTAAATCAGACACTGATAAATTTAAAAGAGTTCTACATCAAGACTCAAATTTATTTTTACTTTTGAAAGTACTTAGAACTGCAAATATAATTTTTTTTGAGAAACACTATATTTAGGAGGCTCTAGCTAGTCAGTATATTTTGGTAAGTGCTACTATTTCAGCATATTGTCCAAGAAGTTTTGTACGTATACTTGTGAAGAATAAATATCCACAGTGACTAATTTTGTTTTAATTAACACCAGAAAAAATAACATTGGTTGGCATGACAAACTATTTTCAGGTTTTCTTTTTTAAACTGTGTCAGTTGCTGTCTAGAAGGTGGTCAGGGGAGCAGCCTGTTTACATTAAATAGCATCCCTTGTCCCACTAAGAATAAAACTGGCTCGTTATTCAAAGATGGCAATAGTAATACTCACATTTTGTAGTCATCAGATTTTCAAAAGATTGGGCCCACTGTAACACTTCCTCCAAAGTAAGGCTTTGAAAAGAAATAGAAGGCAGTAAAATATGCTCAAAGTTTTACAAAATCATATAGGATGATATTAACTTGAAATAACACCAAAATATAATTACAGTCCATTTGTGTGCAGTATTGAATAGAAAGCTATCTTTCTATATCGTTCACATTTTATTTTTACTTTTAAATTTATAAAAATTGGGATGGTGGAGATAGCTGAGCAGCATAAGTGCCTGCCTGGCAAGCACAAGGTCCCAAGGTTGATCCCCAGTACTTCAAAAATAAAAAATAAATAAGAATAAATGTGGCAAAAATAGACATCCTTGTCTTTCTTTTTCTTTTTCTTTTTCTTTCTTTTTTTTTTTTTTTTGGCCGAACCAGGGATTGAACTCAGGCTCTTGTGCTTGCCAGGGAAGCACTCATTCTACTGAACATCTCCCTATCTTGTCTTCATTCTATAAATAAATAAATAAATGAATAAATTTATAAAAATTATAGTAAATAGCATATACTTGAGATGCACTGAAATAAACATTAAAAAGACAAAAGATTATAACTCATATCTCCTTATTTCCATCTTTCTACTATTAGCATTTTGATATGTTATTTTAATCTTTTTGTTATGCACATATCTGTGGTTTTAACCAAAAAGTAATCGTACTGTGTGTATATGTTTTACATGTGTATACTGTTCTAGTAAGTACATTATAAGTCATAATTATCTTAGTTATGTATAGTATTATAATTTGTAATTGTAAATTTATAATTATTTATAGTTATGTCATTTTAATGATGATGGTGTTCAACAAGAGGGCATTCCATAGCTTACATAATTATTCTCGAGAAGAACACTGATTATCTCATTTTTCAGTATTAAAATGAAATGTAGCCCAGTTGTTACCTACATAGGGCAACTTTAGGAAATAGTAGACATAGATTAAAAGTAGTTGAAAATGACAAATGAGTTTGTGATTCTTGGTACAGATTGCCAAATTCTTTTTAGATGGTTGTGCAGTGTGTGTTCCTGTCACCAACAAAATGTTTGCCCATTTCTCTATTAGTGTCTTGGAGCTAAGTTGGCCACCCTGGGAGCCTGAGGGAGATTTTTTTGTGGGTGAGGTTCCAGATTAAGGTGGGACAGGACACGAGTGACAATGGCAGGGAGTGTGGAATGGAGCAGAGCAGACCACAAGAGCTCAAGAGTGCAAGAGGCACTTGCGTCTTTAATATATAAGTCTTACGCAGGTTATCACATATGTACATTCTTACACAGCACCACAGCCAGTGAATGTGTGTTTGCCTATGCTAAATCATGGTTTCCCTGTGTGCTTGTGCTGGACAATTGAGGTCACTTCCCATAGACTCCCCTGAGCTTTGAAGCAGTCTGAGTGGTTCCCCACATACTACGTGCATGCACTCATATGTTTATATCAGTTTCTCAGTTTCTTATCTGCTTTATTTTGCATTTTGAGAATTTTACTGCAGTACATCAAGTTACATTTCACATAAATAGTATAAACGAAGTTATTTATTATTTAGAAAATATCTGTGAGAAATGCTGACTTTGAGACCTTATTTCTTTCTGTGTCATTAAGTGTCATGAGCTTGAAATTTCCAAGTGACTATATATTCTCACAGACAAATAATTTTATTTTCCTTTTTAAGAATAGTTAATGTGTTCATTGCCATTTTAATTTTTTATTTTCTTGTTTTCAGCAACTGAATATTATCCAAGTGGTTCGAACAGAAGCAAAAGTACTTTTCCTTGGCTGTACTCAGTCTAAGAGTTAGTTCTGTGGGAACAGCCATCAGCATTAGTAGCACCCTAACACAATTAAGGTAGATTAGCTGAAGAGGTTAAAAAATAACCCAGAACATGGAAAAGTTCTAATGTCTTTTATTATCTAAAAATTAGCTGGATCTTGTTAGTTTTAGAGAGACCATTTGAGCAGTCATAAGGCTTAACAGTGTACTGTTTTAAGATTGCTTTTAAGAAAAAGATTTCCTTGAAATTATACCTGACTCGTTCTTTTCTCTTATTACAACTTTGGAAAAAGTAACCTAAAACATCCTTTCCAAGCCAGTGAGATGGAAAGTGGTAGGCAAGACTTACTGCATGTCTGTCTGTTCCACTCATTCCCTTATGTGGGAATGGAGAAAATCTATAAACTGAGGGGAGCTGTTGTTACTGTCTTAGGTAGCTGGAAGTTAGGTGTTGGAAATTGTTGGTAAGAGAGTTCTTATGTCTGTGAGGTTCATGAGACTTTTGGAGATGTATCACATTTAGAAAAGTAATTATAGTTAGAGGTCAAGTTTTAAAATGAAATTTGTTTGAAACCTATTTTTACTTGCAATTTTTTCTTGAGTATCTCACAAGTTTCATGCTGCTCCACAAGTATCCAGGTGTTCTCAGCAGAGTTATCTTAAATACCCTTGTCCCCATGACCACCTGGATTTCCTGATATAAATTCTCCACTTTTATATCCTCTCCTTTCTTCTGAGTAAATGGGTAGTGAATGCTGATCACACATGGAGATGTTTTGAAATGTGAGGAATGGTCAGAAGAGTGAAGAATGCTTGGGGTCTAAGTCCTGTGTCCTAATCCCATTCAGTACCGAATAGTTTTTGGTGTTACTATACTTAAGAATCTGGAAACCACAATTCAACTTTCTATAAATTGATATAATAATGTCCATTTTATAAAATTATAACAAAGATAAAATAAGTTCATGAATGTAAAGCAGTCATGAATTGCTGTTGACTGTTCTCAAGCAGACTTCCATAAAAGTGAATTCTCCTTTTCCCATCTTTTCCTCATGGTGGGTTTATGAAGCAGGTCATAAGCTCTAATGGGACTATTTCATAGAAATCATCATCAGAAAAGAAAGGTGCTCTCAGTGAGATTGTTCTATCTTTCTCTTTGGAAGTACCCGAGTAGCTCAGCAGCCTCAGTTCATTTAAATGTTGAGCTTTGGGTCTTAGTGTTTATTTCATCCATCACTGCTGCCTCATTCTGTCCCACAAGAATAGCTTGAAACACTTTGGGACATTTGTTTCTTCAGGAGAGGAGCATTCAGGCTGGGGGCTGTACTCATACAGGGAGGTATGGCTAGAACAGGAGTCTCACATCATACTAGGTTGGGAATGCACAGTGATCTTAACAGAGATTTTCAACCTGGAAATTTTTTGAGGGGAGTTAATCCAAATAAATGGCTTGTTACCCTTCTTTGGAAGTATGTTTTCTATTTTAATTTAGTTCTTATCCAAATGGCTGTATTTTTAGTAATGATTAAATTTAAGAAAGACAGATCAGTGAGGCATTTTTTTACCCTTCTGGTCTCAGAACTTCCAACTAAGAATGAAGTTTTTGACGCTTCATACATGGAGGCTTTGAACTGTAAAAGTATTTTAAATCAAAAACCTTCATTTTAAACAAAAAACCTTAAAATATTCATAATAAACTCAAATTTAATTTGCTCAATTTTTAAATGTAAACTATGAATAATGAAAGCAAATATTAGTACAATACATGTCTTTTCTGGTGAAATTACATGCAAACTTTACTTCCAGAATGAAATATATTAATAGATATAGATGAATACATGTGATTTTTTGTCATGTGATTAAAAATGCTTTAGAATGGACATAGAATTTAAGAACTACTTACTTTGAAGGTAGTCTCTTAGATCCATTTCTGCAAATTTTACAAATCCAGCAATTTTGCCTGTTCATTTTTCTAAATAAACACAGTATATATTTGTATAAATTAGTAATATAAAATTATGTGTTAGCATCAGTTATAATTAAAAAAATGAGTAGAGGTTCATGAATCATGTAGGAGATGGAAGAGAAAAGGGAATAAAATGACTCATTTCATGACTATTTTATAGGAGTACTAGTATTTAGATTTCTAAGTGACATTAGACTTAATGTAGCTCACCTACTCATTAAATAGTAGAGTTTAAAAAATATAGATCTCTGACAAAAATCTTTTCATTTAGATCCTGAAAAGACTGCATAAATTTCTAAGGCTTCCCTTTTTCAGACAATTCTTATTTTTAGAATGCCCTTTCAATATATTGAACAAAAAATTATCTCTCTGTAATTAGCTGTATAAAATAGTACAAATAATGAAATGAAAAGTAAATTCATTCCTTAAGAGCGAATTTTGAGAAGTGTATTGCTTATATAGTTTTATGCACCTGGGCCATTGTAATCTTTAACTTTAAATTACAGGTAGAGTTTACTTAGTCCAGGCACTTATATAAAATATTACATATAATAGAGCTTTAAGTTAAAGACTTTGAGAAGAAAAACTAAACAATTTGTTAGCAATAATTAATACACATTTTTTAATGAAAGCTGAAAAATAGTTTGATAATCATATGCAGGCATTGATGTACAATGAACTATTGAGGCTTAAATGGTGAGTTTTTATATCAGCCAATATTGATTCATTCACAGCATCTACTAAGTATTTGTTGTGTGCCAAGCTCTGGCTGCCAGTTAGTGGTCTGCATAGATTTTTTAAAAAATGTAGGTTGTACAAGATCTGCAGGGTCTATAGGGTCTCACTACATAAATGGGACTTATAGTGATTCTCCTGTTTTCAGCCTCCCAAGTGCTGGGACTATAGGCTTGTGCCACCATGCCCAGTCTTAATCGCCTTCTTAGCCCATCCTGGGGGCAGGACCCGCACAGCAGGATTGATCTCTTGCCTCTGTGCTCTGTCTAAGCAGGCACTTTAGTCCACTGAGCTATTTGGCCAGTCTGGACTGCATAGATCTTGTTACACTTTCTCCCACCTCTCTGGTGAAGAAACAGTGGTCATGCCCTTATGGAAGGGAGGAAAAGATGATAACTGTGGCAGGTAGATAGCTGCAAGAAAATGTTAGTTAAGATTGGACCAGTAATCTGTTAAAAATGTTCAATGCAGCTAGAAAATGATGGGAGAAGAAATTGCAGGTACAGACTGAAGCCAAGAAGGTAAGTCATGCAGGCCACCAATTTCATATTAAGGATTTGGAAAATCACTGATGGTTTTAAAATTCAGCACCACCGTGTTAAAACTTGAAACTGGTTTGTGCCTAGACCGGATCCTAGTGTGGGAAGAGTGAAATCAGGGAGAGTAGTCAAAAGGCAACTGCAGGAGTTCAACTAGAGGATGACTAGCAGGTGGATGTGGAGATTGACGGCAGGGGATAGATCTTAGGCATTTTGGAGAAAGAGCTATTAGAATTTATTGATCAAGTGTATATGGAAAGTGAGAGAAAGAAAGGGAAAATATGGAATGAGAGTTTTGGCTTCAAGGTGGTCAGTTTTCACAAGCACTTAACTAAAAATATAGGATATCCAGGAAGAGAAATAGCCCAATGTGACTGACTAAAGAGCACAAATATATAGGAAAAATACTTTAAAAGAGGGGCATCTGGACAATACCAGAGTAGTATGATATCATAAAAACCAAAGAATCACTTATCAAAAAAGGAGAGTGAAAGGTTCTGAGTTAAAAACTAGAAGAGAATAAGAAAATAAAGATTGAAAGGTGCTGTCAGATTTGTTAACAAGATCATTAATGACCACAGGAAGAACAGTTTCAGTGCAGCAGAAAGGGTGGAAACAAGATAGAGCCCAAGAAAACAGAGAGCTGCTAGTTAGGAGCTCTCTCTCTCTCTCTCTCTCTCTCTCTCTCTCTCTCTCTTTCTCTCTCTCTCTATTTGTGAACAATGTTGAAGAATCATATAGTAGAAACAAAGAGGCACACCCTCTATCTTTAACAATTGTTTTATATCTTCTTCTCTCCTCATTTTGTCTAATAGGAACATGTTTATACACTTTAGTATTTTTTTTTGGTGATCTCTATAACTCAAATGTATGCCATTGTCATATTTAATAGCTTAATGGAGTTGTTTGGAAAAAGCACAACTGTCTTGTATGTAAAACTTGCTGTGGTCAGAAGCACAGTGAGGGTAATTTCTGGATGCACTAGAATTTAGGGGTTTCCCACAGCTCCGTGGAGGTGAGAGAATGTATGCAAATAATTCTGGGTTCTACAACCACGTAATCATGCACTTGAATTCAGGCTTTTATTAGCTGTATGACCTTGTACATGTTAATTCAACTTTCAGATCCTCAGTGTCCTTTTCTCTCAAGTGGAACTGTAAAGATTAGAAAAATAGAAGTATGCAAAACTTTCTATTCCAGTTTATCTGATCTTCCTTTAGCTTTTTGTACTTTGTACTTGGGAAATATTTCCTAAGCTTTTTTGAATATATAGGAAATGTAATTTTCTGGCAGATAACATTTCTTTTTAAAATATGAACTTAAATCCTGCAAGTTTTCTTCATTAACTTTATTCATTCTTCAACATGTGTACATAAAGAAGTCCTCTTCAGTTTTTTGTGACTGCCATAGTTCTGTTGTTCATACATTATTTTATTGCTAGGTCCCAGGACCTATTTAGTAACAGGTCCCAGTTTTAAAATTAGGTGAGTCTTCTACAGGGGTTTAGATACATCTGGGAATGTGTGTCACTGTGAGAGGCTGAGGCCACCAGGTGGGATTTAATTGACCAGAAGTTCTGTGGGGAAAAGGACAAAAAGACATACAGCCACAGCATCTCCTTAGGTATAGGAGAGAAAAATGAGATCTGTGAAGATACTTGCCAAGCTGTGAGATCCCAGAAGGGATTCACGGAATGAAACTACTGCTTTTTCTCTAATTTCAGCAGCAAAGACTGTATACACCTACGCTCAGTTATGTGACTGATTCAGGGAAGCCTTCTGGTTAGGTTTTCTGACTTCCAGTTTCTTAAGAAATAGGATTTGTTGAATACTGTGCCAGTGCCCAGAAGTTGGTGGCTTGCTGCCTATCCATTAAGATTTCTGGAATATCCTTCTGTAAATCAGTGTTTCTTTCTATTGATTACTACTGGATTCCCAATCACCATGCACCACTATTCTGCTGGAATATCAAAGAACATCTTGTGATTCACTTACAATGAAACAATGAAGTAAATTCACAAATATTTTACTTAGTTTCAAGTAAAAATGTCAGGTTGACCTCCTGAGTTTATTACTTCTAGCCAAATCACTGGTAAAATAATATGACAAGTATATATAAGACTTAAAAGGAAAAGGAAAAGGAGATCAATCAAGGAGAAAGAAACAACAAACAAGATATTTCAAAGTAATTTTGGAAAGTGGAAAACAGATGGAGAAACAGAAATGACAATGCTCACACTGCTGAAATGAGAAGATGCAGCCTTTGTAACGCTGTCTACAAAATGAAGAACATACAATTCTCAATCTGAGAGACAAAGTATTTCTAAAAAATAGTAACTTAAAATATACATAATCCTGGATGCAATGATATTTAGCATTAAATAGTAAATATTCATCTATAATTTACATAAAAATGTGGACTAGCAGAGTAAAATGTTAGCACATTACCAATTAAGAAATTTTAAGATATTTTTCATAATTCTAAAAATGCTAAATTCTAATTTTTATAAAATATTTTTAATTAAAAAATCCCCTTTTATTATTTAATAATAAAAAATTATTTGTTTAATAATTTGATACAAGGTCACGCTACACTTGGACTCGTAGTGATCCTCCTGTGTCAGCCTCCCTAGCACTGGGATTATAGACATGTGGGGCTGGCATGGTGCGCCTCGGGTTCTGGGGCCAGCACAGCATGTGGTACCAAGGATCGAATCCAGGTCCTGATGCTTGCCAGGCAGGTACTTAGACTGCTGAGCTATTTCCCCAGCCCTACTATATGTATATAATATTGTATTATATTTCCCTTTGCTTTTTACTGAAATATATCTTAACATGATGAAGTAGCCTATTTATGCTCAACATTGCAATTTTTGGATTTTAACATGAAGTTTATATAAATTATCTAAAAACATTGGTGGAACAAAAATCTGAAGAGAAAAGCTTTTATTATGTCCCAGTGTTATGTGTCATTCCAAAAGTCAAATAAAATTATTGATTTGCTGATCTTTATTTACCAGTACACACTTGGTAAAATTAAGGTGTACTTTAAAGAACAATGTATCAAGAGCCTTTATAAGGTTAGCTGTCTGTTATGACTTTTGGCTGCAGTGTTTTTCTGATAGTTATTTAAAAGAGAAAAACCACTTCATTGATAGAATTATAGAATGGTTTTAAGTGCATTAATTATGACACAAGTTGGGTATACATTATATAAAGGAATTCACATTTGCTTCAGCATTTAAATGAGAACTTCAAGTTAAATAAAAATAAAGGAATTTTATTTAACTTTTTCACATATTTAAATATTTTCTGAGCCAGATAGGAAAGTAGAAAATTATTTTTTCTCATACATTATATCTGTAAAACAACATTTAATATGTTCTTTTATTTTATAATGTGGCATGTTGCATAAAATTTAGAAAAATCTAAGATTTTTCATATTTTAGCAATATTTTGTTTGCTATAGCCCATACATTTCCTGTGTCCTTTATAAAATCTAGGAATCTGTGTGTTGTTTTGCTTATGAACCACATGGACAAATTGCATAACATCAAGATTAATTAGACTTCAGATAAACCATGTGTCTACACCTAGGATCTGCATAGCTAATAAATTGATGAATTAATGATTTCAAAGTACATGATTTTTTAAAACAAACTTCTGAAGTATTTGACTTTATATTATTAAATAAATGTATACACATTTCTATACATAAAAACACATAAA